TCCCACACTTCAGCTATTTATTTGCTTCCTTCTCCCAGCAGACATTAATTCAGTGTTCAGAAGGATAAAAGCTTTTCTCTTTTTAAGGTTTTGTTTATCTTTACCACTGAGAAATGCCAATTAATAAATAAAAGAGTCATGATTATGCTATCCCTGAGAGAAAAAAAGCCCAAGAGGAAATTGAAGAATCAGTAGTTGACTACAGATGGAATTAGGGGTGGGGTATTTTTATATATATATAAAAACTTTATTTTATGTGTATTGGCATGAAGGTGTCAGATTCCCCTGGAACTCAAGTTACAGATGGCTGCCATTCGGGTGCTGGGAATTGAACCTGGTCCTCTAAAAACAGCCAATGCTCTTAACCGCTGAGCCAGCTCTCCAGCCCCTATAGACTGATTTTTACAAGAGTACATGTGAGAAAAATAACTTATCAGTCCCAATATTGTATCAGTATTTTCAAGGGAGAGCTTCAGAGGTCCCTCTCTGGGATTCAGTCAATTAGAAATGCAAACAGGAAGTGAACTAACATTCCTTTGTTTTAAGAACTGAAAACTTGTCCTAGTTTCTGTGACCCAAATATCCTTCCTACTTCTGAAGAAGAGCATTCATGCACGCATGCCGACCATCCCAGACATCATGCCTGGGGCTTAATGGGCCAATGGGAGGTTAGCCTCCAAGAAAAGAGAACAGATGCATATCTGGGTTAGTTACTTGAAGGCTGTGAGCTGGAAACGCTCCTTAGCACAGGACTTTCCTCATAGTAACAGCCAGTTCTATCTACGGAGTAACCCCACTTTTCTCTTTCTAGTCTCAGCCAAGTTACACTCTGACTCATTTGTCTAGTCTAAAAAATTCTTATTCAGTGCTAAGAAAATCAGCAATTAACCACTGTGGCACCAAGGTAGTCAGTGAAGCAGCAGACAATTGTGTTGGTATCTAGAGTACTGAAAAATGTTCAGTTCTAAGTTCAACACAGTATTTGTTTTATCAGCAGTCATAACCCCCTATTGGTGTCTCTAGAACCCCAAGCAATGTGGTCCAGCTGTCTGGACTGGAAAGCGCAGGGTTAATACTTTTGTTTAAATATATTTCATAGTCTCATTCAAACGATTCTATCATTTCAATTTCTAGGCAGGGAACAATAATCCTGTGTTATTTCTTACCTCTTCTCTCTTTTATTTTCACATTTTGATCAAATACAAGCTCATTTCATTATCAACATATTTTCTTTTCAGCTGGGAGTCTTTTTTAAAATAAAGATTTATTACTTTTATTTTATGTGTATGAGCATTTGCCTGCATACATGTATGTATGTGTACAGTGTGTACAGTGCCTACAGAAGTCAGAAGATGGTGGTGTCTGATCCACTGGAACTGGAGTTACAGACAACTGTAAGCTGCCATGTGGGTGCTGAGAACTGTGTCCTGGACCTCTGTTAAATACAGCCACTGAGTTTCTTCAGCTGGAAGTCTTAAACCAGGCAGGATGGTGTACACCTATACTCCTATACTGAGAGGGGATAGGGTCTGGGGGATCAGAAGTTCAAAGTTATTCTCAGCTATTTGGGGAGATGCCAAGTTAGGTTAAATGAGACCATCTCAAAAAACTAACCAACCAAGCAAG